CTGGCATGCACTGTGGTGCTTGAATGCAAGGGTTGTCATGGTTACCAGGTTTTCTTTAACAGACGCCACAGGTTTCGGCGGAGAGAGCCACAGCCTCTCAGTAAGCGAGGGGCTCACTCGGTGCGCTTCCTGGGAGATGGAGTGGGGGGTCCGTGGGCGTTCTGCGGTTTATTTTCAGCCACAGTCCCGGCCACGCTGCTATAAAAATAGCTTCCTCTTGTCTGGCCTCGCAGCCTCTTTGAAAGGGCCTGCTGAACAGATCCTGCACCAGAAGGGTTACACACACGTAGGACGAACCTGTCCTGTGCATTGGGGGTGGAACGGCAGCTCGCAGATGATCAGCAGACACTGCAGCAGTAGTGACCTGGAGGTCCACTGTCCTGCAGGTCTTACCGTTTATCTCGGCGGTCGTTACAGGTTTGAGAAAAACAGCCAGTTGATTGGGCAATTAGTGAGGGAACCTGACTCCACTGGGTTTTTTGAGGAAAGGGTTTAAGCTTCCAGTAGCGAAACGAAGCAACATTGCTCCTCTGCCACCTCTCTCTTGGCAGAGACCGCAGTGGTTCTCAAAGGTCTTTCACCCCCATGCTGACCAGTTATGCTGGTGGTGTCCAGTCTCCAGTCTTCCAGGAGACGTTTAGTTGACGTTTTTCCTTCCCAAGTCTTTAGCAACTGAGGCGTGACAGAGAGGTCAAAAGCAGGCTGGATTCTGGAGTTCCCCAGCCTACAGCAGGTTTTGCTTTCAAGTCCAAAGTCTTCCCTGTAGCTCGAGCTCTTCCTTGCATGCGCATCTTATGTTTTAATGAACTTGTTTGGCCGTGATTTAATTACGAAAACGTGCCGCTGGTGCTCCAACTTCTCTGATCTTCTTGCCAGTGTTAGTCTGTATGATCCACACATGACTGTGCTAATGCACATTGATGAGTACATGGAAGGAAAGAATCTGTTGGAATCTGGGATCATTGAGGAAAAGATTTCCGTGCTGGTTTTTTTTCCCATCTTCAGGCGAGGTTAGGGGTTTTATAGAGAAAATAAGGTGCAACATCTACCTAGCAGACGCAGTAGTAGTATGTCTGGCCTCATACTATTTGAGGCAGTCCCATGCCTCAAATAGTATTCTTTAAGTTAAGTCAGACTCGGATGGTGGTGTTGGAGGGAGCTCCCAACATACTTCATGAGAACAGCACATCAGGAACAGAAGCTTGCCTGAGATTCATTTATTGCAAGTATTACCACCAGCTTACCAAAACATTCTGAGGTCACTTAAATGTTAAGTCATTTTTTTAAAGGGATAAGGTGCAGTTAATCAAAGTGATGCTGCTGTCACCACATTCCGAAGTGTTTCGACAGATCAGAGGCCCGTAGTGGCAGTTGAGTGGGCTGGCTGGTGTGTCTAAGGGGGATACTGTAGGTATGAAGAGCTTTGTGGTGGCTCTTCAAGCGCTTGTTTTTAACACCAGCAGTGCGGGTCGTGCTCTTCAGGAGAGCAATCCCGAAGCTTCGACGATTCCAGCACCACAAAAGTGGAAAGTCAACCTGCTGGCTGCTGAATGAAGCACGATGTCTGACAGGCTGATGACTCTCGGCTCTGGCCGAGCGATCAATCCACTGCGTGTTTCAGATGAATTACTTGGCTCTGTGAATCACATTTTGTAAGAGTCAGAGACGCCTAAAATACTGAGGTACACTATCATACCTAGAGGCTGAGTGGGAGAACAATGTTATCTTGTTTTTACTGCAAACCCTAGATTGACAGGTAACTGTTATAATGTTTAACATATACCTAACATAACATATAACTAACGGATATTATAACATACTGCATATTCAGATCATGAAATGTAGAGACTCTACGCAGTATGTTCCTCTATTAGTGAAGCTGTACAACTACTGAGGATTTGTGTCTGCCCTGATAAATGACCTAAGGGCACTTACATTTAAAGAAAAATTGGTTTCAGTGAACACAATTTCTTTTTCAAATGTCTTGTCAAGATTTAGAAACGGGTCACAGAAAGGAGGTCTCTATTCTTGCTTCTGGAGGCCCAGGGCAGGTGTGTCTAAAGGGTTTCAGTCCAGCTGGGCTCTTAATGACCTCAAACAGCTCATTGTTGGCTAGACTGGACCAGTTTCACAGCATCTCCCAGCTCTTCAGAAAACCTGCAGGACTCACCAGGACCAGGACTGGAGATGCCATCTGCAGAATGAAGCAGAGAATAATATCGGAGGGTTTGTCCCATTATGGAAGATGTCTCATTAGGACTCATGGAGGTCCTAAATGTTGTCTTTGTACTGGTAAAGTTGTGAACCTGGGGAGAGTGTGCATTTTGCATTATTTAACATTGCTGCTTAAATTTGTGGAAAGATAAGACCTTTAGATTCATCTTAAGAAAGTAAGTGTCTGTTCTTGAATATACTATCCCCCCTTAGATCAGAGAATTATCAGGGAGCATGCATGCCTTCCACAACTGTAAGAACTTCCTAATAAAGGAAGATCACATTGGAATGCCATTATACTTAGACATCATTGTCCTTACATATTACAAAAGAGGAGAGTTATCTGCTCTATGGATGGAGAGCTTACCAAGAGCTTACAATAAAGACGAATTAACAGGTCTGTAGTATTTCCAGCACTTTGAACCACCCTGCTAATTACTAGAGATCAGTAGCTGATTAAGATGGATTTGTCTTCAGTTAAAATTAACTTCCACCCTATTCTTGGGGGCATATATATATATAAAACAGCAGAAAATGCTTCCTGTCCTATACGACATGGATGTGCGTTTCAGCTCTCATCGAAAAGAAACAGCCATTTTTCTCGGAACATAACAACAAGAGAGCAAAGAAACAACAAAATCCAACATCTATTTTTTCCCCGTGGTATTTGTGTTTTGTTCCTTCCATCCAATCCCGTCATTCTGGGAAAGTTTATTTTATTTATTTCTGGGAAGAAGTCTATCCAGGAAGCACTGGGCACAGTACTCTGGGCAGGACACCAGCCCTTTGCAAAGGACACAAGTGTACAAGCGCATAGGGGATGATTTAGAGATGGCACTTTAACTGAAGCAAAGTGTTAAGAACATGCAATCTCCATACAGACATTCCCCCGGGCCGAAATCAATATAGGAGCTGTGAGGCAGCAGCTCTCTCCTGTTCCTTTTAGAATAAATATACATCCAGATGGAGATGTACAGTAATGCAATATCTTGTGGCTTCATTCAATCACCATTGATCATTCCCTCCGCACAGACTACAGTGGGTGTTCTGCTTATCAGGTCAGTGCTAATTCAGCTCACTTCAGAGGGCTCTGTCTCCAATTTCAAATTTCACCAGACGCAGAGACATGTTAGGCTTCCTTTGGTTCTCTAATCCAAAAATCAAAGAGAAAGCATTGAATATTAACAAAATGTCAAAAGCTGAAGGCAAAGATACAGATGAATGACTTTGACATCCTTCTGAAATAAGGATGAATTTTCACACACCGGTGAAATTGTATATACTTAAAACCAATCGTGTTATATACGAGCACTTGCAATAGGTATATATGAATATGAATTCATGTATATTTAAAACAAGAATAATATTGAGCTTTGCTCCCTAGCAAATAATAAATGAATACTGTCACATGGGGAAAATGACTACTGTAGCACAGCACCTAAGACTCTTGGTATCCTTTTGTTTCAAAGCAAATTGTCCAGATTTCTGTTGTAAGATCCTCCAGTGAAAATCTTTGTTGAGTTCCCTACTGGTTAACCAATAGTTAATGCATTTTATAGTACGCTTTGGTGTTGAGAAGAGAATTTAGCGAAGTAAGGTTTGTGCACAGCAGTTGGGTCAAAGAAACGTTATGTCAAATCTGTCTTCTACAGGCTGGGCTAGAGAATAATTGGTTCGATTCCAACTGTAGTTAAATTAAAGACTGATTTCGGTGTTCTGAGGCAGCTGGGCAGACCTGTTTAACGGCGCGATTTCCACCTCTTTCCTAAGGCATGAAACAATTTCCCCCTGCATGTCTTTCGGGGTGGCGAGCGCCTCTGGCTCGCTGCTGTGTGTTATCGTTGGCGCCAAACTTTGCTGAGGTTTCCCTGGGGTTGAAAGGTGGAATAACAACACAAGCACTGCACCGAAGAAGGAAACTCTGACAAAACTGTCATTTTACTTTGTTTTCGAGCCTTCTATGCTGTGAGAAAAGGGTGGGTTTGCTTTTGGATGGCTGCCTTTACTCTGTACTGTATATAGCGAGCTGTTTGCTGCAGAGAGTGAGAGAGAGAAAGAGGGGGAGAGAGAGAGACGGAGGCTGTGGAGGTGGCACAGTAATAATATGATCTAACACCTGTATTGTCTCTGCGCTCCGGCATTTCACACCTAGCCCAAGCCCTGGTACAGTATATCAGGCAGACACAGCTCCCTGTGTGTCAACTTGCCACTAGGGCACCAGCTATCTCTTAAGGCAACCTTCAATTCCTGAGGGACCAATTCTGTGTTTTCTCTCTCTTTTAACTCCTCTGGTATTTTCTCCTGGGATTACAGAGCAAAGCAGGAGGGGGGGGGAGATCTCATCCTTTTCATTCACTTCTGATGTGCTCAGCGATTTCTCTGTCTGTTCGGGATCAAGGGGATGCTGTCGTTTTTCTCCGGAATCGTTTTTTACTGCAACGGGTTAAATGTGGCTGATTCGCCTTGCTCTGCTGTATACTCGGGATGAGTTCAGGCGCGAAGCTCTAGCACAGAACGTTCTGGTCCTGCTGGAAAGAAATCCTTCTGCTTCAGGAAGGGTGTTCTCGTTTTACAAAGCAGTTTCAGGACTGCTGGCGCTGCTGGGCGGTAGTCTTTTGCCACCACTGTTGAAGTTATTTGGATTTTGTCCTGTGGGATTTCTTTGGAAGTTTTCCACGTATGTTGTGTCCCGACACAGGGAGATGGGGTTAACTGCAACGGGTATTATCCAGTAATCTCTGGGCTGGGCCCGCTGATGCCCGGTCTCGCCCCGCCATGTTTGTCAGGATCTTCATCCCCAAGAAGCACCGGCAGCGCTTCGACGAGGTGGTGTCCCAGAGCCTGATCAGCCGCCTGCGCCGGGGGAAGAGCCTGACGGAGACCGCCCAGGGCCGCCTGCGCCGCAGCCGCAGCGAGGACCACCACGAGAGGCTGCTGGTGTCCACCCGGGCCAGCTCCGTGCCGCGGGCCGGGGAGGACAGCTCGGCGCCCAGGGGCCTGAGGAAGAGCACCTCCCTGGTTGCCGGGCACTCCAGCGCCGGCGGCAACCGTAGGTAAGGACCTGCCCACATCCCAGATTGGCCGACGGGCCAGGGGGCGTGGCCATTGCTCTTGTCTGAGTCCTGCTTCATTAATATGCTACCATGACATTCTTAACTGAGGAAGGAATGATTTCATTCATTATTTGGAATGTTTTTCTTTTTCATTTTCAACTGTCCGCTTTTGTTTTGATTTTTATTCTGAAGGTATTACACCTCTGTAGCTGCATTCCTGTATAACATCTAGATAAACTGTTAATTGTGCCAGGTTAAACGATGATTTCAATTGCTTAATTGCAAAGAGGATTGATAACTCGGAAGCAGAGTTTAGTGTGACGTCCCTCTTGTAGAATGTGGGGTGTCAGAACATCGACACTCCTGAGGGATATAAAGAAATCTCATTTCCAAGTCAGAAACTGTTTGAGGGCTTATAAAAATGTAATATACTGTATATATTGGACATATTTAGTCTTATAATAGTGAGAAAGGAGATTTGGAGCTTTCAAAAACATTAAGAATTGGCACAAGATGGTTTTGCTTTATTGTGGTTCTTTTGAAGATCAGCAGTCCTGTGAAGAGTGTCCTGCACAGAGTTTACCCCACTGAGGACTGAACACCCATCTCGTTAACAGTTGGCGAAATCCGTGATGCTTATCCTGTAAAAGGACGTGCAAACGTGAAATCGGGCAGAGTGATGTGTATGTTGCTCCAATCGTATCGCATGTGCACTGCGCAATTTGTGAGTTAGTTAGCCTTTGCACAGCTGGTGAGCATAGCTTGATCCCTAAAGCTCTGCAATCAGAAAACTGCTGTTTGTGCTCCAGCACCACGGACTTCCAAATTACTTGTCAATACAGGGACTGCAGGCAAAACGCCTTAAGGGAATCATGAGTCTTGTTAATGATCTCTAGCTTACTGGCGGAGACTGAGAGTCTGTCACTGTATTTTGCTATTGCAGGGTGAATTGCCTTCTCTTTTTTTAAAATGCCGTGGCATTTTCCGGTGACTGGTTATTGATAAGTGCTTGATAAGTTCACTGTGCAGTGCTGTGAGTGACTTCAGATTCTTTACTATAAATTGTCCTGAATGCCAAAGGCAACACAGATGTTAAGATCTAAAACTATAGTGCCCCCCCAAAAAGCCTTCAGAGATCATTTTAAAGAGCTAATTAACCCTGTTTCATTCACTCTTTAAAGACATTTTCCCATTGCAAACAGAAATCAGCTGAAAGCCAGCTTAGGGAAAGGGGTGTTTAATTACCTGAAACCTGTTATTGCACTCAGCTGAATCTCACTAGTGAGGAGATCACTCCAGGGTGCATCTCCATTAGCACACAGCTGGAGGTAGAGCTTTGGGGAAATTACACAGTTTTCTTCCTTATCTCAGTGTTTATCTGTTTCAGCACGCTGCACAGTAAAACAGCTGGGCTTTTTTGGAGTCTTTTTTCTATTTTTCTCACAGCTTCAAATTTTCGTCCTCACTTTTCCTCGGCCTTGTGGAAAAGAAAACAAACCGAAACGCAGGAAAAGGATTTAAAGCCTTCCCTTTCGTACTGCTTACATAACAGGACTCGGGTGGTGTTGTCCCTGGAAGTTGCCATGGCAACTGCACAACTGACACTTTTCCTTTAATGGGGAAGATGTGCCAGAGGATCACCCAGAGAAAACAGTGGGTTAATCCTAAACAAAAACAACTTAGACAAACAGGGTGATATATTGCACTGTCTTTCCTCCACCTATGCTCATATTGTGGAAAACTGCATGTTCTTTTTTTATCCACAACTTCAGAGACAGGCAGCAAATGAGGTATTCAGAAACAGCTAAAAATACCTTGGGCTGTTCGGAAAAATCTTCACAATTAGACAACATCGTTTGGCGCATGGTGGTGCACAATCTATCGCCTCCAAGGACAGTCTGTTAAGATTCACTTCTACAGAAATGAGAGGATGCTGGATTCTGGGGCCTTGTTTTAAGGCACCAGGCATCCCAGAATTCACTGTGGAAGGGGTCAAAGTGCAGTGTGAGAGCAAGAGGGTGAAGAAAGAGCTTCCTCCCAACAGCAGCCATATTGATGAAGCCCCCTCAAATATTGCCAAAGCAGAAGTGATCACAGCCTCT